AATTGCTTGAGTGAGGTTCGAAAAATGAGAACATATTTTTATAGGAACTTTCAAATTCAAAGGAACAGTATGTCCTTGTTTTTTCTCATTTACTGTATATAAATGATTGGAATAATTATGAATTTTCTGTCGAACCGTGATGCTATGAATCATTTGAATTGATTGCTTAGGAAAAGAAGGTGCAGCTACTACCAGAGATAGTCAGACGTTGAGGTTGGATTTCACAGGTTATGTTGGATCCGTCAATAACATTACTTTTGTGGACAAAAATGGCAAATCTTTCGGAGATACCCTAAAATTGAAGGAGAAGCGAGACTTTATGACTTTGGAAAATGTTAGCATGAATAACAAGCAGTTCAACTTAGAAGTAGAAAATGTTCCTGAACAGTCATTTCATGTGTTAATTCAAGGAAAAGATGTCCAAGGTAAAGAAAGAATATCTTTGAAAAATACAAAAAATACGAACATATTATAAATAATGTTTCCACCGCTTCTTTTTTTACTTTCACTCTGTCTTCACACTGAGAAAAATTTCTCAGAACAAAAGTGTCTTTCTTTATGCGGCCTCCAGTTCGATTGGGAATCTGAAAGTACTCCGGAAAACCATACAGCAGATGGAATCTCACTGTCAGGTGATTCCCGTAACGTGAGGTATTGAGTGTTTCGTTCTCCTTTAAGAACAAGAAATTAGCCAAGTACATTCTCTCTCGAAACTTTTGCTACTTCATTATAGTATTTTGAAATAAAGCTTATAAATCTTGTTGGAAAATGTATACAGGGAAGGTGATTGATGTATGGTCCCAGAACTGACCCTTGGAAGACACCGAAGTATAATAGTTTTTTTTTATAGTTATAATAGGCTTTTTCAAAACTTCACTCCTTCGTTTCTCACTATCTGAAACCTAGCTATTTCAAAAGAATATTGTTTATGTTTTTCCAACAAATTCCCAATTTTCAAAGGCTTCTTGGATGTTGGAACGAAGTCTAAAATGGCCGAGGTTGAGTGCTTCAGGTTTTCCTGAACCGAAACTGGCGGTCTGAAAGAATGTTATGAGATTCAAGGTTTTGAACCAATAACTGCCTTATACTCTAAGCTCTTCTCAGGATAGCAACTTAGTTGCCAGAATAAGAATTTATTCATTAAGCATCATTTTCATTCATGTCTTTTTTAGGGAATGAATTCTCTCGCCAGACTTACGTCAGCAAAATCAGTAACAGCAACATATTTCCTCAACCTCCACTAGGCATAGACGTAGGCTTGGGATCAGAACTATTCACTATAGGTGGGAAGTCTGCCATTATAACACTCGAAGTGACGAATTTCAAGAGCACATCCGCCACAGTCAGATACTATTGCATGGATGAAAAGAGTATCTTATCAACAATGACACCCTACAAGTAAGTGTATTTACTACAAGACTTGATAAGGTTGACAGAAAGGTTTTGAAAGCGTAGGCAGGTTAAAATTAGGTAATTTATTGGGCAATCCAAAGGCACATTTGAAGGGAAATCCAAAAGGCACATTTGAAAATAGGGAACTCATAGTTGTAACAATTAAACATATGTAGGTCTAGGACGGAGAGCAGTTGAAACAAGGCTCAATGAAAATCTAGCACATTTATATACTGGAAGGAAAATCTATTTGTATATCTAACAGCAATCATAATAAAAACATTAAAAACTTGAAATTATAATATTCAAAAAAGTTAAACGTGTTGAAGGATTTAGACAAGGATAGACACATATTGTGAACATAATTAAAATCCTCTGGAAAGACATCCATACTTTGAACGATCTAAACTGCTGACAGATTGAAAAAGAAGTGATCTTATAGATGTTGTTTCCATTGATGTCAGCAGCATAACATTCTTGTTTCAGCCAAGTCATCAGTCCACAAGAAACTGCAACAGTACGAATATCCCTGGTACCAAAATATGGCACCTATCAGGATATCATAACCTTTACAGCTGTGGCATTAGATGAGGTGATTGAGAAAAAAGTCCAAGTTGATGTTGGAAGTTCAGCAATGATAGACAACACAGAGCCTACCTTGAGTTATAATTATTTAAGTGATTGTTCAAAGGTACAATTTGGCAGTTGTGAAGACGGAACATGGACGATTGAAGTCAAAGCAAAAGATAGTGAATCAGGTAGAATATGTTTTCTGAATCATTTTTCTTCATATGGAAAAACATCTTGAATGTTTTACAATTTATATTTCAAAATTTATAAATTCATTGTGATCCACTGAATTTTCGTTTTTATTACTAGCCTCCAAAAAGGCTGAATATGACAATTTTATCATCTTCTGACAACAATAATTATAGGAGTGGATATTCTGAAAAAGTACGTTTTTATTTGAACTTCCAAAGGATAAAGTAAATGAGACTTGATTTTGAAATTTTTGCAGAGCATAAGTCGCATTTCTAGGTAGTAGGTAACTACATAATTTTGAAACTGGAGGATCTATGAGATCTAATATGTTCCTTACTTCCTTGTGGATATGATTATATTTTTTTATGTTCTGGTTCTCATAAAAAGGTGATGAGTTTGTTGTTTGAAGGTTATGCAGATCAACTTATTCACTTGTTATGCCTTGTAAATGTTATCCAGGGGTCAAGTGCCAGTTTCAAGCAATAACACCAGTGCATTTCAGGTATTCTTCAAGTTACATCTAATCCAAAAGGACTCTATTTCCCGGTTGGTTATACCACTGGTACTAAGGAACAAGTAACAGGATATTATAGTGACAGCTGCTGTAATCCAGATTTCCAGTTAGTAGCAGTTGATCGTATGAATAACAGAAGAACAATAAGCCCAAATGCATATCGTAAGGACTTCTTAAGTCATATTGCAATAATCAACATTGGCTATGGCTATAGTATTTGAACATTTTCCTGTCCATATTTTCAACAAGTTTTTAATCTAAATTTTTTTTAGGTGCATCTTTGGGTCCAGGTCAAATTTCTGCAATTGTATTGGGAGTTTTATTATTCATATTACTAATAGTGCTCATAGTATATCTTATTCGAAGATGTATGAAGAATAGGGAAGATTATAACTTACCCACTTATAGGGGACGAAAAATATGACAACTAATCAACTCCATCAAAGATGAACAAAAGTGTTGGTATTAAGAAAATTACGAGGAAAATTAGGAGAATCATCTATGATGCTTGAATTCAATTCATAAATTTGTGACATTCAATTCTCTCAACCATATCAATATAAAGGTTGTTCACTGAATTTAACATGTTCTCAGTTTGCATATAAACCAGTTATAACTTTATTTTGTAACAATCTGCAATGTCTGATACTAGATCTCAATCATATTTGCAGACTTTCCAGTAATCTTCAAAGTGATATATAAATAGCCAGAGTGGCATATTGTCAGAAAAATGTTGATGAAATTGTTGAAACCTATCTCAGTATTCATTGAGAATTCAGTGTATGTAAGCTGGGCTAAAGTTTTTCAATCAATGGGGTTAGGGTGTAGCTATTCCCTAATGATGAAGAAATTATTCTCTCACACCCAGTTTGTTGAATTGATACCAATTGTTATTCAATAAATGTCCTGCATTACAAATTACATGCCAACTATGATCAATTTACTATAAAGTGAGGGGTGTCAGATTAATAATTTGAAATGTATCAAAATAAATTTTTTATGAATAACTTGCTACCTGGCTTGCTACTCATTGAAATGGTATGATATGTGATTTTCATGCATTCTCATCTACTTAGTCATAGATTCCTAATCCATGACTTAGTGTACAGGCTGATGACATTTTAGAAGAACATCTATGAAGAATATTGAAATATTGGTGAAAAGCTTCAAAATATTTTGGCATAGATGTGTTTTGTTGATTCATCTTATTTTGGTATCAGAAGTCAGTGGTATCATTTTTTACTCATATATGCAAACATCTGGTTTCATTAAATTCCACTGAACTGGGATTCAACGAAAATTTATGTGAATTCATGCACAACCTAGAGCACAACTACTTATTGTAAACCTGAACTGGAAGTTGTTGGCTTGTATAAAATTGATACTGAATTGAATCAGTCATAAAATTTGCCCCTTAGTTTGGACTGGTTATGTCAATTGGCAAGATGTGCATGAATTTAGCAGAAATAAAATTCTTTGAAACCAATCAAAACCTTTTATTGGTTCACTTGTATGATCTAGAATACCATCTTTCTAGATTCTTCAATGCCTATACCTAGAAGGCTAGTGCATAATATGATAATTGTGAGGATACTTATGTAGGTTAGTTATGTATGTACCTGGCTAGGTACCTATAACACTACACTACATACCTAAGATGAGATTATATCCCTGGCTTTTTCTATATCCTACATCCAGGATTGCCTACATCATGACCAACCCTACTAGGGTTGCCATCCGTCCGGATTTCCCCGGACATGTCCGGGTTTTAGAGGCGTCCGGGGACATCTGGGCGGGTTTTGAAAAATTGTCCGGATTTTCGTCAGTTCAAACCACTGACAAACTGACATAAACTATTATCATGTCAGTGAAAGTTTGCTCTAAAATTGAGAATTTGTAGATTTGGTATTATTAATGTGACTTATATAGTTTTGTTTCAAAACTCTTGATTGGCTTATTTTTTGTTTAAAAATGTTTTTGAGTTTCTATTCGATTTGTGCAACAAAAAATATGTAGGTTATATACCCGAATTATAGTGATGTGATATTCACCATTCACCTTTGGACTCATTCATATGTAGGTATATGAAAATGGAATTACAAAAAATGATGCCGAGTTTTCAAAATTCCCGCTGTCCGGATTTTGTCCGGATTTTCAAGTAGCCTTGTCCTGGTTTTCACATTTTAGAGATGGCAACCCTAAACCCTACAAGAAATGTAGGTACTTCTTCTTTACTTGGGGAATTCACTCAATGATTATAAGCTATTCTCAATTCGAGTTTGAACACTGAACTACTTATACTAGCTAGTTAAATACCATATTTTAAACTTACCTGATGTTAGATTCAAAGTTGGGGGAGGTGGCTTTTCTTTAGCTGGAAGTATCATGGCATGTTGAGTGAAATCTTCGAAGGTTCCTCCTGTTACGGATACGCTGAATAATGGATTATTCACCTTTTTTGTTTTATCCATCTTGGGATTAGAAGACTGATTACCAGATCACCACAGCTGTTTCTTTTTTGAACGAAAATAAGGTAATAAAAATAACAAACAATTCGCTGTCAGGACTGTCAGGGTCAGCGATGTCAAAGTCAGCTGATCCTGATCTTGACACAAAACACGTAAAATTCACCATGTAGCGCGAACTTCGTGGACCGTGACAGCGTGACACGTCTTGACGACTAGCGTCTGCAGAGAGAACGCAAGAAATAAAGCGCGTGGTGGAGGAATGTTGCATTGCGTTAGAAGATCTCACTGATCTCAGTTAGAAGCGACACAGTAGAGAGCTTTTATCATGCGCATGAATCGAAGAAACCATCAAACTGTTGCAAAATTCCGCTGGAATGTTGATGGACATCCATCAAACTGTTGTAATAAAATGCGCACTTTTAAATCGCATCTCGAGAATCCAGCAGTTTGGAGGAGATTGACATGACAGTTGACACATTTTAGTGTTGTTTTTTGTTTTGATTTGATAGAAAATAATTAATATTGAGGATTTTTGAGATTCTTGAGAGATTTTAGAAGAGTCAGTGTTAATCAATAAAGTCGAATTAGCCTTTTCTGATTCTCAAGATACATGATGACTGACACACAACAAAATCCGTGTTTCCATCAATGTGTTGTATAAACCATTGTTCAATCCTTCCAGCATAAATTCCAACAGAACAATTGGTGACGTCACGACAAAAAACCGCATCTATCAGTGCGCACTTTCTTCGATGGAATGAAAAACACGCCCTACAGCTACTGTGGAAGCGATTTGCTATGCTATAGCTAAGATGCCTAAATAACTCACATCTTAATCTATGCTCACATACAAGCAATGAACTCGATATAGGTGTTTATATTGAGTTCATTGCATACAAGACTGTGCTAATATATCGCATGATTTCAATTGGACCTGAAATGAGGCATCTATAGAGACTGGACGGAAAGAGACAAGGCGCAACAAATAATCCGTGCGTAATCAAATTTAGCTCTCGGCTGATCCTGGAAAAAACATCATTCAAATAGCGAATCACTATCGGCACCTATCGGTCCCAACAGTAAATGCCTTCACAGTATTTCTTTAGATCAATCACTTCGAAAAAAAAAAACAAAAAGAGGGGATTATACCACAACAACGAATATTTGTTGAAAGATTTGTTTTATAACATCTTGCCTTGCCTCATTTCAGGTCAGATTGAGTTCCTGGTATGATATATCAAAGAGGATATATCCTCAGGAATCAGGATTGGGATGCTTAATCTCACTAAGAATATATCTGAGAAATCCTTTCTGAGAATATTCCTTTTCAATTAGAAGACAGTGCTTCAAGTGTGCTTCAACGATTTGCTTATAGATGGCAGAATAATCAGTTTGAGCAGACATTATACACCCCATACGTCCCGTTGAACTCAATATGTGCGCTGACTCAATGTAATATATTGAGTTCATTGATACGTCCATGATACACCCCGTCAAACCCAGCCTAGACCAAATGGTCGAAACCGTCGTCGAACCATAGATTAGGCACAGTAAGCTCTCTACTGTGGATTAGGGGAGTCGAACCATACGAGAACAGTATTCTACATATTGAAAGTAGTCAGTCGAACCACACAAGAAGAGGATTCTATAATTAAAACATACTAATAATAGCTGTATAAGTGATCGAAAAGATGGTAGCACAATCGGTCAAGTTCATTCCAAAGCAGAACTCGCATTTCATAAAGAACACTGTAAATTCATAAGATTTACCAACCCGTTAAAATACTAACGTTTAGTTAAATCAATGACTAATAGATGCCAGGACATCATTTTCCTACTTTCTTACTGTATTTCCATAGATTAGGGGACTAGTTCGTACATCATCTGTTCTGTGATATCTGTAGTGCCTGTGATATAAACTATGCTATTCTATGTTCTGTGTAAAATTCTGAATCCAATCTGTTCTATGTTGGTTTAAAGTTTTGTGTTTGTTTATGTTTATTCAGAATTCATTAAAAAATAATTAAATAATAATTCTCTCTTGTCTGTTGGGCCCAGACGATTCATCATACTCGATTCATCACAATGCAATACTAATGCATGTGATGTCGACTGCCTGAACCAGTGATGGTAAGTCAATACTCATCTTGTCATCCATTTCATCTATTCTATTCTAATTATTCATTTCTTTTGATACTTCTACGTTATACTGTGTAGACGAGATACAGTAGATCAGTATAGGAGTAGTCTCGTTGTAGTATCTAATAGGTATAGGTACCATGGACCAAACTCGGACATGGCGATTTTCATTTTTGAATGAGGTTATTTCATAAAAGAGAGAGATCGAGAGAGCGATTTGTATACAGTGATCCTATTCTATGAAAATATTATCAAGATTGCGGCCGTTGCGGCACTTCTAAAAAAGCTATATGTTTATTGTTTAGATGAAACAGCCTGTATATTACATTATATACATGTACAGTTCTTCACACACACCCAGCAATTTCGGCAACCTTCATTTTCATGCGGTTTTCGGTACAGATGTGATCGACTTCAAGGACAATACCTACCTATATTATGAGATCAGATGAACGAAATTTACAGAGGGTGTAATAAAAGTGGAAACAAAACTCATGCGTTGAAATAACTTATTCGTTCAGATGAACCATTCCTTTACCTACTCACAACAGCATTTTCGATACCTACAACATCTGTGAACGCTGTTCTCTGTTTTGTGATAACTTCATAGAATAAATATTCTTCGACTTTTATGTAGGTTTTGTGTTTATCTAGAAGAATCCGAAAAACAATATGTTTTAACCGGCGAGAAAGTGAAAATGCTTATGAGTGGACGTAACTTTTCCTAAGTGTTCGGCGAGGTGTCCGGTAAATGTGTTAATTTCAAACAAACATATGGTTGAAGTGATTGATGATTTGAACTCTCTTTTATGACTTTTCGTTTCTCTTCTGATCCTATGAAAAACTGTTTCGACAACATGTCGGCCGAACCTGAACCCAGAACCATAACGGTAAGTAATACATGTATTTTTTATATGTTAATCATTTATTTCAAATTCATACCTACTTCCACAGTGTGTAGATGAAGAATATATTCGAGAAGTCTCGTGATAGTATGGTATAGGTATAGATACCATTTGATACCAAAAGGATCGATAAATAGAGGTATAGGAAGTACCTATCTTTGGAACAACAATTTATTATTGGTACCTATTTTCAAACTAATCCCAATATAAACTAAAATATAAATTGAAATCGATTAGAATTATCATCAATGAATAATATTTGATTATTTTTATGCACGACCGGGCGTAAAAGTCGCACTTTACCGCCCGCGGATAACTTCATTGCATTTATTGTTTCAACAATTTTGAATAATTCAGCTATTCAGTTAGATATAAGTCTTTATGATGAGACGAGATAAAGGTTGAGTTTTTGTGTTATTTCGATATTGAAGATAATACTTTCTAAAGTCAAGATTGGAGATGCAAAATTTCAGATCCAGAATTGTGCCAGTAATCCAAAAATTTTTCAATATACAGGGTGTTCCGTTTGAATATTCAAAACGGAGCCATTTCCGGTGAAACCGGGTAAAACATGGTGAAACAGAAAATGACCGGAAAGAGAAAAATATGCGAAAAGTGTCCTCTTTACATACACCTAACTTATGACTGATCTCATAGATTCGTTGGCACCCATCTATACAATCACCGACCTATAAACAGCGAATAGGGAAATGCTAGTTCTGTTTCACTCAAAACTGAACTCGCGCTTACCACGTGATCGGCTTGGAAAAGTTGGTTGAGGAGTATGCGCAGTGCGTATATCATACTGGGCCGGCCTCGGATAATTCAATAGCAGCGGACATACGAACTAGGTCTTCAAGATCGATGATAAAACACACATTATCCCCAATACACCTAACACACAAAACGAAAATGGCTGACAAACGATAGATAATAAGATTACGTTGAAACCGGCTCTAATGTAATCTACAGTGAGTACATACGTTCTAACAAGATTACAAAATGGAGATCAAAGACATATGCAGTGCTGACGTTGATACCGAGGTTGATACATACCCTTATAGCACATGTGTATTCCTAATATGTTCCGAAGAAGATTTCCACGTGCGAGAACAGGATGTGTTCCGAGAATATCGCAAAAAGTCGTGGAACATCCCTTGGAAATTTCCAGTAAAGCCGTTGTGGGCAAATTGTACATTCCAGGAATGTCTTGTTGGGAGGACATTGTCCGAACAAAATTAATGAAAAGAACATGTCCCGCGCAGGGACCGAACCTCGGATCGCATACATGTAATGCAGACGGCTAGTCACTGAGCTACGAGCTACTTCTGCAGAGATTACACAATTGTGTATACTTATTCTTTGACATAAGAAATTACGCTTATCGATTAATAAACTCTCAAAATGACTCAATCTGGGTTTAAATATTGTATGTTCCTGGAATGATTATGCGTAAGTGTTCCGGGAACATTATCAGTGGAACGTGCATATACCATAGAAAGCCAGGACATTGGGACTTGTATGGAACATGAATTGAACGTTCCGGGAACACCGTGTGCAATTACGGACTGCGCAGATGCGTTAATCAATTTTAGAGCTTGCTGGTTATTGATGGTCGTAAATGTTCTTCGCCCATCATTATGTCTTCCATTTGTTGATCATTGGTTAGTGTATACAATGTTTTGTACTCGGTTTTGTGTATTACTTTATAGTTGTGTTTTTCTTGTGATACCAGTACCTAACTACGTTTTCAATTTTAGAAGACGTGTGATATAGTGAAACAGCTCGCACCTACCAAAAATGTCCGTTTGAGGGAAGTGTGCTCATCGTGGTCGGTGTTCAGCCCTGTGGCAGAAAGAGGCCGACGTTAATGAAACAAGAAAAGAAATAGATGAGCTCTGGCAATCGGGGTCAATGTCGACCCTATTTCGACCAATTTGTCTGCCTCAACGTGTTCTG